CTATTCTATACTGTACTATATTATTCTATTCTATACTATTCTATTCTATACTGTACTATATTATTCTATTCTATACTATTCTATTCTATACTATTCTATTCTATACTGTACTATATTATTCTATTCTATACTATTCTATTCTATACTGCATTATATTATTCTACTCTATACTGTACTATATATTCAACCTCAATGAAGAAAAGCAGACACGCGGTATAAATGGGTAACTGACTGCGAAGAGCGAATGGTACTTTTAGATGTGGGACTTTATGGACCTAAACACCTATATTTGCAGCAGTCCTAATGATTTATTTCTTTTTTTCACTGTGAATCTTGCTAATTAAGGTGTATCTTCACTGCTTTGTAGATAGAGCCCTCTACCGTAGTTTCCTCGCTACTTTTATTTGTTTGTTCTAAGTGCCCGACACTGTTTGTTACCCTCAGTTTGAATGTTTCGAAATATTGGCATACAAAGATTCGTGCATACGCACACGTAACCAAAGAACTTTTCAATTTTCAAAATTAAACTGAACACTTCCTTATATGTATATAATTATACCATCTAATGCTCATGCAAATACAGTACTTTAATTAATAGTTCTTAAGAAGTTGAATTATAATTAATCGTATTTACTGACTCACACCTTGCGCCCCAAAAATAATTAGCTTCTACGTGTTATAATATAACTAAAACTAAAATATTTCACACATGATTAATCTTGACAAGTTTAACGATTTCGGCCATATCCATTTTCTAATTATACTGAGGTCTAATAATATATTGAACAGACAACCCAGAAATCACTACTGATTACTAATGAAAGCGTGTATTATACGCCCATATTATTGCTAACTAATATAAACATACTTTTCAACGAGTCAGTAATAATGTCAAACCAGATCGACAGCGTTTGCACGTGTTTTATATCTTAATTTCGAACGAAGTGATCGGTTGCATTCGGTTGATCGTAAACAAGCAGATATACCGAAATAAAGGGTCATATTACTGAGTACAAAGTGAAGGATCAAAATGTTTCTTGGGGCTTAGTGATTTTAATGACGTAATATATTAACGTGATCGAGACAAACAATTATGACAATCATAATGTGAATCGCTAAGTTTACGATTGATATCATACCTATGTGATCAAGAAACGCTCTTGTGATGCTTAACACTTGTTTTCTTTTAATTGAACAGATCCAACCTGAACTTTTGCCGGCACGTTCATAGCTCTTCCTCCTCGCGAAGCCTGTCTCGCGCTTTATCTGACAGAATGTCGTTTGAATGCTCTCCGATCGACCTTCTCTCGCCCAACAGTGAGACGGACGGCTAAGGCTGTAGATATATATTAACAAATGCTGTCGTACATAAAACTATAAAGACCACCAGGAATGGAAGCGTTAACAAATGGTACTACTTTAGTTTGCTGCGGGTAAATATTTCTTGAGGTAATATTATCGGTTGTATTTGTAAAAATAGTACATCCAATATATAAAAAAAATTCACTAACAGTAAACATGTTTTAATTTCATACTCTAATGCCTCTCCAGTTTTTTTATATTACCTTCTTCGCTGAAATGTAAATTATTAAATGAAATGTATTCAACCAACAAAAGCTTTCAAATATGTTAAAGTCATTTAGTTAAAAATAAATGAATATATATTTCCGTCTCAGCTTCATTAATACTTCGCAATAAATAATAACATGTTCTTGTATATAAAATACGTGACAAGAGTGACTTTTTTTTTCGGGAAAAGGCAGAACGACCATAAAACAGTTTAATTCTCAGCACTCAGTAATTGTCCTGTTTCTTCTATACGCATTCTAGCAAGACACTTTGGTAGAACAAAAACATTTTATTCTGATTTCTAGAAGCTGCCATTCCAGACGAATATGCACGTATACATTAAGCGGAATCCGGGTCCATAAACTGACGTTTGGTAAACATCATGAAAACACTATATTCAATCTGATCTAGTCAACCTACACAATAACTTTTGTATAAGAATACACGTTTTATAGATTACACGCTTAATTCAAGTTCTTCTCCCTCAACACAAAACTAGTTACAATAGATAAAGTAGAGCGCATAAACCCTCTTCTTGACCTCCGAGGGTCAAGGTCTTGCAATAAACAGAATGTGATTACCGTCTCATTCTTACCAACATTTTTTTTTTTACATCTTACTATTTATTTCCTTCCACATATCCTGTCTTTTTCCTCCCATCGAAATATTCATGATATTTATAATAACAAAGTTTATTAAAAAGCAGATGCAAGGAAAACAATACATCCACTAATTCCATTAAGTTAATTGAAAGACAGATGGAAGATAAAACAATAGATCCACTAATTCCATTAAGTGAATTGAAAGACAGATGGAAGATAAAACAATAGATCCACTAATTCCATTAAGTGAATTGAAAGACAGATGGAAGATAAAACAATCACATCCAGTTATTCAATTAATCAGAGGTAATAACAAAACAACTGCGAAACGTACCAAAATCAGGTGGATTCTGTAACCGGTCGTACTCAGACTTGAAGATTTTCACCAGGTTGTTGTTAAATGTTGTTTTATCAGTGCTACTACAACCTAAAGAGAGAAATATAGAAAACCATTACAATCGATTACATACTTGTGGAAAAAAGAAAAACCTTAAAAATACAGGAATAACAAAATGTACATATCTAAATTGAAAAAGCAACATGACAGCTTACATTTTCCAGTGGTAGTATTTGTTTGTTTTAAGTGTAAAGCTGCACAATGGGCTATATGCGTTGGGTCCATTACAAAGGCCGAGCCACCAATTTAATGTTTACCACCAGAGGGCTTGTGGAAGTGACACATGTGAGCAGATTAGGAGCGCGGGTTGGTCCTTTGGTAAAGCTCTGGATTTTGGAGCTGTCGACCCAGGCTTGAATCAATGCGATACCATAAAATATTCCCAGCAATTTAAGCTGTGGATGCATAATAAGAGTGACAGTCAATCCCTTAGCATGGATGGTGGGTGGTAGGGTGTTGCTGACTGGCTGTCTTCCATCTGGCCAGCATTCAAAATTAGTAGCAACTAGTGAGCTGATTATCTGTTGTCTTTATGCCAACATAAATATTCATTATTGACAGGATTGCTATTGACAGAAATGTGGTATACCAATTATAAATTATATTACCTCAGTGAAGTTGGCAAGGAACCAGGGACTAGCGCTAATCCTTAGACAGATCGTCGATCTTTGATTCGAGTAATAGAGGAGGCCTTTGAGATACAGTGGACAAAGCCTCACTCATTATCAAATACCGCATCGTTGGCACAATTTAGTTGACTTCAAGAATCACACCAGTTCATTTTGACGTCATCACGAGTGTGAAAATCAAGAACAAAATCTCTTTGAGATCAGCATACTTCAGGGTAAACGTGAGAAACAAGAGCAGGTGAAATCTGGCGCCACATTGTCCAATGAAAGACGTTTTACTCCTACGCGGGAGCTTATCGTGTATTTAATATTCTACAGAAGCTGCTTCAGGAACAATAAAAATATTCTTACTTCTCTGCTGTTGGTGTTTACTACCTGAACGCTACAACAAATATAAGTGTGTGATATGGGTATTGAAGGATAAAAGGCATGCCCCGCAAACTCACTGCTTTGAAGATCAGTTTATCCCCTTGGTTAAAATGGGGGGCTATGTTATTATTCGAGAATTATATTAATTCTATTCTATTCGTTTTATTAATTACGAAATAAAGAAAGCACGAGAAACTGTGAAGATTTTGTAGAACATAACAACAACAACAACATTAATTGTTTTATATGATCAACCAGTCTATAATCACTTGCTGTGTTTGCTATTGATTATAAAAATATAATTTTAACAATTTAATTCATAAGTTAACTACTTAGATCTCACAAAGTTTGACATAACTGTTAGGTGTAACAAAGACGCCTGATTTGTGCTTAACCCCTAACCCTGTCCTGCGCGCCACGTGTGATTCACAGGACATAATAGTAAAACGCCTAATACACGGCGATATTTATTTGATATGCAGCTGATGCTCGTGAACGTGGAAACATGAACTGGTTGTTTTGGTTCAACGTATGAGATTAGAAGAGATATTCATATGAGCATCACGTGTGACGCTCAAAACATCTATGGATGATGGCAGGTTAAGTTACTTTCACTCAAGAGAAAATGTATACCTATGTCAAATACAACAACTATTTTTATTGGTTCTATATATTTTCATTCATTAACACCAGAGGGATATGCTTCATTCATACCTACTTGGGTATTTGTTTGTGTGTGTTTGTTTGTTTTAAGGTAAGCACAAAGCTTCGCAATGGGCTAACCAATGAATGACCAAAAACAGGAAAGTGTTAAACCACGTGGATGTGCCCTAAGCTATGGCTAAGTACAAATAATGTATTTTCCATCGCAATAATTGCATGTAAAAAGAGGGGCTTCAAACTTCAACTGATGAGGAAACTAATACTGCTTGTTTAAAATTTAAACGTGTGATTGGGTATACAATACCAAAGTTATAGAATATAAAAGAATTTCGAATTTTCACTAAAAATAATTTCTCGTGACGTATACTTTTTCTATAATACATAAAGATGCCGACTTATACAGTGATCTTCACTCAGTACTTTAATTTTATCTTTCACATTGGTAGCACAGAATAGAAAGCCATGGGTTATATTTACTAGTGTAGTTAGTATTACAGAGTAAGAAGATACTATTGTTCGAAAGAAAATGTTGACCCCCTCCCCTCGTCCCTTGCCCTCACGGTTTGCAAGCGAGAGTCAATGTCGGCGTTTATCGGTCAGAAAATAGGTGTTGAACCAGTTTATCCTTGCAAGTGAGATACACGTTAAACACGCACATCTACATTTGACAGTATTTTTTATAATTATTACAAATAAAAACAAAAACCATGTAGAACCTTCACGATGTTATAGTGATTACCGATACAAAGTTGTTGTTTTAAATTATAAATATTAAATACACTTCAATAGTACAAATTAAAAAATAAATAAATAATGACTATGATGTAAAACTACAAAAAACTTTAAAATTCACGGAGAGAGGGGGGAGGGGGTGCGTGTGAGTATTCGCGTTCTTCCTGTAGGTATACTGAGTACTGGGGTAAATTTTTCCAGAAATCCTTGCTTGACTATAACTATTATTTCGTGGTACCACATTCTACGTGCTTAGGGAATCTTAAAAGTACATCGAGTGCCGACAACGGAACTAAAAGAAATTTTAAATTTAACACATAAAGTAACAAAGGAAATTACTACAAAATACGAATTAGCAGGTTGCTGAAAGGATAGTTCGAAAGCTTGTCATACAGGATATAATTGGGGATAAAATAGTATATGTGGAAATATCTTGTGATTATTATAAGATTGAAAAATATAGTTGGATTCCAAGCGAAGCATCATGAGAGACAGAGTCAGTGTGTACAGTCTCAACAAGATCGTTAGCTTCAAGTAGGGATACCTGTCAGGATTACTAATTAGTTAGAAATGTTGAGCGCGGTATTGTGAGCTGTCCGTAGTTTCATTTCCTGTTTGAAGATTTGGCGCTTTGCTCTAAAAACTGTTTTATATACCTAGAGCCTTGCTCTATGCATTGGTTGGTGACCCGCCGCTTTATTCATATCATTGGTACTTTCCTATGTTTATTGGTTAGTAACCCGACTCTTTGCTCTGTTCACTGATTGGTGACCTGAGGCTTTGCTCTATTCATTGGTTGGTGGCCTGATACTTTGTTGTATTCACTGACTGTGACTTGGTGCTTTGCTGTATTCACTGGTTGGTGGCTAATGTTTTGCTTTATTCGCTGGTTGATGGCCTGTTACTCTGCTCTATATAAACACATCAAACGTAAGACCTATTTCGATGCTACACACTACAAAACTAACAACAACACGTCAAGAAACGGTATAAGAACCCTGTATTTGAAAGCCACAATACGACCAGATACTGTAATAAAATACCCTAATCATTTTTAATAGCAAAATTCACATGTAGAAAAACACCATTTAAACAACGTGTGCCTTTTATCAATGGAAAACAATTATACAAGAACACTGCAAGAAGAATTAAATGTCAAAAATATATTCTATAGAATGAGAGTAACAAAGTTTAATCTCAACTTTTTTACGAACACCAGATGTGGCGAAGAGACTAATGCAATATTATCAGTAAATTTAAATAAATCAAGAAATTTAAGCTATTCATATTTTCTTATTTTTGTAATAGTTTTGTCTTTTTTTTTTTGCGATTTACGTTTTTTTTTTGTCGTAGTGTCATAA